TGGGCCAGTCTGGGTCAGCCGGCCTGGCTGTGCCCCCTCCCAGCTGCCTGGGCACCCGGCAGGGCAGGGGAAGCTGGAAAGTCCTTGGTTTAGTGCAAGCACTACTGAGCAACAACTGAAACATCAGTGTGTTAGCGACATTATTCTCCTACTGAATCCAAAGCACAGCACTGTACCAGCTACTAGGAAGAAAATTAACTCTATCCCAGCCGGAACCAGGACATTGTCTTAAGGTGGTTTAGCTTGATAGTGATTAAAGGATTACAAATGCGTAGAAATGTGTACAAATGACACGCGTTTCCTGTCTGTTTCAAAACTATTCTAAATTAAAAATGTGAACTGAAACATCAGTGTGTTAGCGACATTATTCTCCTACTGAATCCAAAGCACAGCACTGTACCAGCTACTAGGAAGAAAATTAACTCTATCCCAGCCGGAACCAGGACAGCAGCATACGGTCTCTACCACTGTCAGACCCTTTGGCAACTATATTTTCACTTGGGAAGTAAATTTAAATAATCCAGAAGAAATATATAGAGTACCTGCCACATACAGATAGAAAATGTTACGAGTTAAATGTAACCTGTATCTACATTAGCAAAAGCCTGTAGCTGTAACCTGGCGAGGTGCTGACTTCAGGGGCTGTACGAGGTCATCTATGGAAAAACGCCATGTCAGTACAGCAAGTGCCATTACATCATTATATTCACGTCCCTGGAAATTAAGGATAACTCAGGTTATATTAGGATGAAACTGCCTGATCCTCTTAATTCAACATCAGAGATTTTGTTTTTTCATATACAATATCCGAGACTAACACGTAGGTAGGCTCAACCACCAACCCCTTTCTAGAAAGGTGTCGCAAAACCACTCACGTGAACACGGTGGCAGTGCTCCAGCTGCTGCGCAGCCCGCCCCGAGCTGGCGGTGCAGCCGAGGCAAGGGGAAGCCCGTACGGCAGCAGGCTGCCTCCTACAGCGCTCCGTGAACGGAGCCCCTCATTAACTTCCACATTTCCAGAATGGGTATCCGACTATTCTATCTCAAAGCAGCAAGCCCAAGCACCGGCCCAGCGTATACGTACCCGGTTGCATTGCCCTAGGAGGAACAGCCTTGCTTGCAAACCGGACCTGTACTTTGGTTCAAAAGGTTTCCTTTGAAAAACTTTGGCCTGGCAGGACAGAAATTACGAGTTTACCTTAATCTTTGCTTATTGCACTCTGCCACATGATGTAATAAGACAGGCCTTACCTAAGGACTGGGAATAGGCACCTTTGAAAATAAGAAGCACAAGCTCTTTCTCATTTTAAACATCTCGGTCGATGCGAGCTATTTTCATCCCAGTCGGACCATCATCATCTCCATATTGTTTCTGTTGCTCAAGCCTGGAAATGAGTAGTTCCAGATGACGTGCACTTCTAAACCTCTCGTGTGCACAAGCAGAGATGGACACTCCTGCTTTGGAGGTTCCTTTGGCAGCGACGGTGAAATCGGCCGCAGCTGCTACCGCATCTCACCCCAGCGGGGAGAGCTGCGAGACGGACGGGAAGCCTGCAGTGGGCGGTTGCCCATCTCCCACGTTGCAGGCGCAAGGGTTTGCAGCGCCTTCCCTTCAACACTTAAGACACTCACTCGCGGTATTTCACATTCTCCAGATACAAAAGAACAAGAAACTGCACAGGACTGTGACAACTGAAACTTCAGCTCGTTACCTTAAATGTATCTTTCGTATTCTAAAATGCAAGGCAACCCCCAGACCTGCCTCCATTTAAACTTGTTCTGTATTTTGTTCCTGAAAAGCCGGGCCTCGGCTGGCTAACATACCAACCAGCTCCTTCCCTAGAGGCGCCACGGTCTAGGAAGTGGCTACACTTACTGCCTCGGGACAGAACAGAAAGCCACGTGGGACACGCTTCCCCACCAGTACAGCATCAAGCCTGCTCTGCCACCCCGAAACTTGCGCTTTTGCAACTCCCTGCTCTGCCAATGCTCCTCCTACCTACCCGAGAGCAGCTCCGACGCTGCCACGGCAGGACTGAACCCCAGGTGTGGCTCTCTTTCTTCCCCATGAGCAAGCTGATGTGGCCAAAAGCTCTCAACCACCCTCTCCAAGCGCTCGCCTACAGTTTCAGAGCTTGAGCATCTCTAGAATGTCACATCTCCCCCCCACCCCCAGTCTGCTCACCCGCATACTCCGCTCAGCCTTGGTGCTTTAGTGCACAGGCTTAATGCTCCTGCAAGTCGGTAATAACTTGTCAGGACAGTACCTCGGAAGAGAGGAAGCCGGTGGTAGAGCTAGCTGCTGAAAAGACAAAATAATCCATGCCCACACGCCCAGCTCCGCTGCAAAAACACAGTTCAGCTCATTGAGGATCTTGAAGGAAGAAGTTAGATGAAGGTGCAACACAGGAGCCTACAGAACCGCATAGCGCGTTCAACCAGAAAGACATGCCCCACGGTTCCTACTTTATCTCTGAGCATAAGGAGAAGTAGGGACAGTTTCTTTTATTAAGAGATCAGTACCTTCCACTTTGGGCACCGGGTGGGGAAAGGAGGGGAATGACTGACTGCTCACGTCCATCAGCACCTCCAGCATCACCACGCTAGCGTCCAGCTCCCCACCCTCTGAATCCAGCAGGCATCACAAGTCGCCGCAGCATCGGTCCACATCTTCTCGTGTTCTGCCTTCAACACCTCCGGCGCTGGCTGTTTTAGCCCAGGGCCAGTGACCCGGCTTGCATTCTCCCAGAACATCTTTTAGCCCTAGCAAGCCGACCCACTTCGTCTTCCCAACAGCACACCTACCTCTTCAATTAAGACCCGCTACTTTAACGAAAGCATAGGCACAGGAAAGGCTTTAACAAAATCTGGAAGCGTTTGATGCAGCTTCACCCTAAAGGGTAAGCCATATAAATACATACATATATGTAGGCACGCACACACACGCACTCTCCTTAAGATATTACCTATATCTCAAGTACCTGGGTATTTGGAGACAGAACAGTGCCGCACACCTCTCCGACAGCAACGCGCTAGAAACACAAGAAAGAAGTATGAGGAAAGCTGCTAAAATCCCAACCCCTGAGCCAGCCGACAGGCAAGAGATGGCTGGGGTGCGAGTGGAGGAAGGACACCATTTGTGCCAGAGACAGCGCAGCAGACACCGTGCTGCTAAAAATACATCCGTGGAGTCTTCCATCGCCTTCAACAGGCTTCGGTTACATCCCAACTACATTCTTTAAATTGTGAAAAATTCCAACAGGCACTTGACAACATCAAATCACTGTAATTAGTAGCAACTACTAAAGCACCATTCAAAGTTTTTACTAAAATTCCATGAGCTATCTAATTTTATAATAGATTTCCAAGGATAAGTCAATGTTTGCGCTTTAAAATAAATAAATTAAAACCACTATTCAAACTAACTCCTACCTGCCTCGCTACCGTTAGAGAGCAGCCAAATACATTGCTATGACTGGTCAAAAGCAGTACTTAGCATCACGTACAAATTTGTGATAGTAAAACACAAATGTGGAAGTTGCAGGGATTTGTTCTGTAACTTCACACTTACCTCTACAAACACCCCATTAAATAGCTTCACTTTTCTGTTGATCCTAATTGTTTTCATATCAAAACAGTTTTAAGCAGCGCATATAAAGTTTGGAAAGCTTCTACATTAGAGAATGGCCAAGTGGTTTGGCTTTTTTGATTCTGAGTAAGAATTTTCTGCAGGATGAACCGCGGCACCACAGTTACTTTACCCAGGACACATCCGTATGAACGTACTGTAGCCCAGCAGCACCTCTTTTGATTCATACAACAAGCAGTTGTCCAGTAAACAGTTAAAAGCTTAGGCTCTTCCCTGTTTTGGGTTCCCTGTTCCTGCCCTGTTTTAACATGACCTCTGCTACAAGTCCCCTCCACACAGGAGTTGAAACACACCAGGGACAGAGTGTGCATTTTCAGGTTGTGGGAAAGAAGAGTCTGCAGGCATTGGCTACACTGTTTGGTTCAAGAGGAGAAAAAAAAAAAAAAAAAAACAACAAACCCAACACAACACCAAACCCAAAAACCACAACACCAAACCAACACAGCGCCTCACCTAGTAATTAGCGACAGTGCTGCCAGCAGCACCCTTCCTTCAGGCCAAGACACAAACATCGAGGCCTGGAGCCTGTTTCCACACCACTGTGCAGGACAGGCATTGCGCTGCTGCAGTCTGAAGAGTTTGAGAAATGTGGCATGAAGGCTGTTTCTGGGCAGAGAAACCTAAGAGAAGGATTAGGGACTGCTCTGTTTGTGAGCTGCAAATGGAACGGTCAAATCTGTAATGCTCCGTTATTGCTTTAGCTTCCATAAGGCAGATTCATAATATTAGAAACCATATCTTCTATTTTACAAGACTGCTACTGAGTAGATCTTAGTGGGTTATTTAAGCCGTTACCTCAGAATCCGAATCATCGCTGAAGAGCAGAGAGAAGCATGTATTTCAGCAACCCATACACCTCCAGTGGTCAACATTTTCAAAGTCTTTATAACTGGCATTTTTAACAGTACCCAAAATAAATTTAGTAAACTTTCTTCACCTTAAGTGCATAATTCCTGCCACAAAATCCTACCTAGTGATTACAGGAACCATCAAAAACAATACTGAAAATAACTCAAATGAAGACACTATTTTTTATTAATACTCTTCCAGATTACATTTCTATTCCTAAAAAGAAAAATAGGAACACATCTAAATCTAAGAATTCCATTACTGTTCAACCCTGGGAATGGAACACTTAAGTTGGACCGTTTTATTACTTTCCATATACTTTAATGTTTCAAAATTAAAAAAAAAGTCAACTAATACTAGCTCCGGATAGATTGCATATTGAACATGGTACGGTGTTAATCACCACACATCAATTTCCTGATAAAAATCCCTGATTAAGAAGTTTTCCCTCTAAATTAAATTTATAAAATTCTCTGTCAGTGGCTCAGCCACTCAGTGGTATAGGAACTGCTCCCAGGTTTCTTGTTGCTTAGATTACCCAGCCTCAGGCGCACCCTGGAACCGAAGTCCTTGGAGGTGGGAGCCAGCAGTTTTCTCCTTAACACCGTCTGTTGAGCAACATGGAACAAGACAGTCTGCTTCGAGAAGCCTTAAGAATCAGCTCTTGCAGAAACAGGAAAGGTGACCATGTGTAACAGAGGAAGAACAGAGGAAGCCTCAATACTTTTGAGAGTAAGTAGGTCCTCAAAACTCAGCTGAGTCAGGTCCAGCAAGAAAACCACGTAAATCCCACCAAGGCAGCAGGCACCACAGAGTGAACAAACCAGACAATAAGCAGATCTCCACTGCAGAAGCTGTCCATAAATGTGTCAGTCCCATGAATCATTTGCTATAAAAAGTTCAGTGTCTCATCTTCAGTGCTTGTTTAACTATAATTCTGTACATTATATACAAAACCACACAAGGATAGCTGCTTGATGCTTCCAATCCTTGTTCTTCTGCAGTGATGAAAAATTCTAAAAACCAGAGTCTGGACTTATAAATAGTGCAGAAAATGCAAATGCTAAGAAGACAATGCCTCCTATGATTGTCACTGAAAAGAAAGAACAAACCAAAAAGAAATTAGATACTGAAAGTTAAATATCTTCCATGACACATTACAGATTTTTTTTTTTTAAATGTCTGATTCCCAAATAATCTTACTTTAAAAATTATGCTGCAAAGAGTGGCCATTGTTTCTAGCTCAGTCTCAGGATGCCCATATGCCATCCCATTGTCTAACTGCACCTACAAGAACATTCTGGTCCTCAGAAGGAAGCTTTGTTTTACTCATTACTTTAGCTAGTATAAAACTAAGGTTGACGCCTGCTGTTGAATATTTGACTGCATGGGGAAAAATAAGATACAATATTCTCATGCTGGAGCAAGCCATCAGTTAAGACGGACACACCAATTAGCATTTTTTGCACCATTTAGGTAACTATATTGAAAGAGACAGCATCAAAAACATTAACTGTTTGCAATGGCCACGATCTGCAGGAGGCTGGGACAGTATTCCGGGAAAGCACCCCTGTATTTAGATGGTTCTATGCTTCTCTAAACAAGCTAACGAGCTAGACGGATCTTTGGTCTAACCTAATAAGGCTGTTCCTGTGGCCAAAGATCCATGCTGAGCTTATTAGGAGCATATGAAATCATTGTTAGATTAGCACCTCATCATCAATTTCCTTGCCAAACAAACAAGACAGACTGCGCATTTCACTTTTTGCAGTGAAGTTGTTTTTTCACAACCTCTGCAACTACAAATATTCTGAATGAACATTTATAGGAATCAGCTTCACAGAATCCTTCCTGGGAGCAAGAAATCTCACTACATCGCAGGATTGACAGTTGAAACAAGCTGCAACATAATCTAAGGAGAAAAAAAAACAATGTAACCTTACTGGTACTTCCTGTTACAGATAACAGGTGTGATGAAAAAAAAAATTTTGCCACATACAGAGTAGCTTTTAAAGCTTTTATATGGCTGGCATAACTTCTAAGTATGAAGTTCTTTTTCCCACCTGAAGGTCTGCACTCAGAATTACAACAGAATTTCTACTACCCACTGTCAAACAATACATACCAATTACTCAAAATACTTTCCTTCCTCTGGTCTCCTACAAGCTAGCTAATAGCGAAGCAAAACGTGCTTCACCTGTGTCCATCTTTAAGCCTGGAGCTACAGTACCCATTTTGATTCCTTAGATCAGAGTCAGTAAACCATTAAGTTCAATTAGGGTCAGACACCTTGGAAGCATCCCACGCAGGGTGGTGGCACGCGCTCGGACTCTGCCTGGCAGGGGGGACATGCAGCTCTGGGAACAGTGCAGGGTCACCCCCACGAGGGGAGCTGCCTATGGGGCGGGGGAGAGGTGGGATGGAAGACACAGACTCAAAAAAAAAAAAAAGTTTTTGGGTTTTCCGAAAGTTTTAAGAAACACTGTTCCCAAGCATGTAGTTATTTACACCACAGACATTACCAGCATTAATGCATTCTTTTGGCCAGAGTGAGTTTTCACTTACCAGTCCTAACAGAAATTTTTTGTGCTATCATTCTCCCTCCAATAACTGCTAGACCAGTGCATAGGCAATGTCCCACTGTTCCTCCTACCGCCACACCGTAGGGGTCCTGAGGAAAAAAAAAAAAAAACAAAAAAAAAACAGAAGGGAAACATCAGCACAGTTGAAAACATGAAGGAGAAACACCTTGATTCCCTGGTTGCACACTGTCAGGCACGGAGGATACTCTCTGGTGTTTACTCTGCTCCACTATACATCACTGCCTTAAAGACCAGTAACTGTGTACGTCCGCTAGCAAGACAGACTTAAATCTAAATCTGACTAATATAGGAGCATATGGCATGTTTCAACCAGGAAGCATCTTAAAGTTGTTAAATATAGATCCAGAAATCACTCTGCTGTACTTAAAACAATTAAGCAACCTCTAGAGGGAAGGTGGCAGCTGCTGAGAAACACAATATGCATCAGCTGGAAGAACACCAACTTAATTATAAAGAGAAAAATAAATCCATGAACTGTAAAAGAAAGCTTTCAGCAGCTAAAACATTCTGAACTTCATCCAGCTTCGCAAGCTTGTGCTCTACACTCTCCCCCCAATCATCCAAAGAGGGAAGCATGAAAGAATTTAACTCCAGAGGATAATCAACTGTTTCAAAGTTTACTGTCAACAACAGCTTTCACATCACTGCATAACAAACAGCTACTCAATACATGAACAAATCTACTATGTAAAGAAGTTTCTCAAACCTACTTACAAATCACACAGTTAAGGGCAGCATACGTATTGAACACCTCATGAAACAGAAGACTTCAGCATTAGAAACAGAAATCAATCTTTTAATGACCAATAAAGAAGGCAAGGTAGGAGCATGACTTTCTGCTGTACAAAGATGAATGACAGAAAGTGGAGTTGAGTCCCCTGAACATCTCTTAAGTGAGGCTTTTAGCCCCAAGAGAAAAAAATGCTGCTGCCTTAACATGAGGAATGCATGAAATCTCTAACAAGCAAACAGCAAAACTATCTAGGAAATGATACAGTGTGAAGAAAACATACAACATCAACTAGCCGAGAGAACTGAAACCACATGCCAGTCAGAAAAGCTGGCAAGCACCAAGCAGAGGACAGGTAGGAAACCACCAAGAAGCACAGGTTGGAAGCCGGGCTGTGCCAGCAGAACACACCTACCTCCAGGACTGGGAGCAGGACCCAAAGTTCCTGGAAATCCCTGTTTCCCTGCTGTCAGCAGTTACCTGTACAACCGCCACTGGCAGAGGGTAGATCTCACCCCCCACCCCATTCCCTAGAGCTGTCCGTGGAAGGTAACAAGTTACTATGGCTTCCCTCAGCGTAGCATCTCCAGGAGCAGAAGTGCTCAGACGCAGCAGCCAAGGCAAAGCCAGTCTAGTAGGACACTATGGAGTTTCCTCTTCTGTTTCCTCAAACAGATGAACAATTCTTATACACAATAAACTATTAAGGTTTAAAATAAAGTTCTTAAGGACTGTTGTCAGGATTAGGTTAAGACAGATTTAACTTGTTCCCCTGGTGGCGTATACACCAAGACAGCCGAATTATCACCTTTTTTTCCTCCAAAGGAGCTCTGTTTGTTTGTTGTGACAAGATGAACATTCAGGTAGTATTTTGTTTTCTTTTCACTGAAGAATGTATGGTCCCAGCTCACTTAACCACACCACTCAAATCTCTGTATAATTTCTTTCCTCGTAAGCACCTCTGTAGTACTCCTGCTATATATCTTAGTACTTCACAGACAAGCATTTATCTGAATACATTATGAAACAAAGGGGTATAAAACAATACCACAGACAAAATGAAAAAAGATCCAGATCATAATCATTCACTGATTTCAAAAGCCAAGATCCAGATAACTTCAATTCATTTTTTGTTGCATTCGTTTTTGTAGCACTTGTACAAACACTTCATATGCTAAAGGCACAGCATCCACAGTCTTTAGTTGCAATGCTCAGCACTTCACAGATCAGACCACAAAGTCTGATGGACACTTCCTAATGGGAGACTCAGAAAATGCAAACCAGAAGTCAACCACCACCTGTGAAAATATGGGCTTAAGCAACTTGCTTAGCACCATACAAAAACTTGGGCAGAGGCAGCAATAATTCATTGTTTTCCAAGATGGCATGTAACTGCCTGAAAAATGAGATCATCCTCTTGTCCTGCTGCTCCCTGCCTCGTTAGCTGTAAGCACCTTCCCTAGACTGTAATAAAGACAAGAGGTTCCTAAGGATTATAGCCTCCTTCATTACGCAGCCCTTATTTACCCCTAGGGAAGGTCTGAAAGTGCACTGAAAGAAGCACGAGTCCTAGGGAAAAAAATGTAAATTATCACAATGCATGAAAAAGCACAAGCAAGCTACTTACGTTTATTAAAAGGTTGACTCTAAGTCTTAATTTTCCTTTAAATATAACACAGTTATATACATTCCAATCATCATGCTGAATATCACTTCATTTACAGTATCACTTACTGCACAGCAGTTTAGAGTTTATTTTAGTTCTATACACTGTACCGTATTCACTTAGATTTTTACAAAGAGGGATCTTTTTTAACAGCTTTAAGTTTGCTGGGAGGAAGGTCTCTTTTTAAAGCTACTGTGTTAAAACTGTATGGCCACACAGATCAAAGAAAAAGAGGTTCTATAACATCTCTCAAACACTGTAACAGGAAACAATTGTATTCAGCTGCGTGATATAAAACAACTATTTCCAGAAATGCCTGTGCAGTTCCAATCATGTACCAATAGTTTCAATAATACACAGAGCTTCAGTGCATTTATTTTCAGGTCTTGGGACAGCTGTAACACTAAGTAAGGCTCAGCAAGGCAGCAGGTGTGAATCTGATACCTCCTGCAAGAGCATTTTGTTTCTCCCACTTCTCTGCAGGCAACCCAAAGAGGGCAAAAGAACAGCGGGCATTCTGCAACACTCACCTCTCTGGCGGCCAAGACTATGGTCGTTAACTGGGAACGATCACCCCATTCTGCTAAAAATGTTAAAGTAAAAGCTTGAACAAAGATTGGAGAAATAAAATGTAGCCACTTCTTCTGAGGTATAGTCGTTCCAGGCCCTGATTCCCCATCTCCTGGACCATTTAACAGTTTAGTTCTCTGAAGCTGTGGAGGATAAGGGGGGGGGGAACAACCAACCGTAAGATTAGAAGTGTCACCTAAACAACCCAAATGAAATACTTAAACTGTAAAGCTAGTATCTGGAATGTTATTACCCACTGACTGCTGCATTATCAATATATTATTTATATTAGACACCATTTTACAAAGGTAGCTATATATATGCACACACATATGTGTGCGTATATACACACACACATATATATACCTGTAAACACCTCTAACCTCCAGTTATTGCCCATCTTGTACTGCTGGCACTTACACAGCAGTTTCAGTAGGAATGATACCTGGTTTCTAACCACAGCTTTCCTCCTATTTTCAAAGCAGGTATCCCCCTCTTCCCAAGTGGTGGCTCTCAAATTAGGATTCCATAAAATTAAGGGGAAAAAAAAAAATCTTGAAAGAAATAAGATTAATACTCCACACTATTCCTTAGAAGTGGACCAGTATATTTAGAAAGTTATTATAACAGAGACCTTTGCTGCAACCCTACAAACCTCTGCATTATTCTGCCTGATCATAAAAAGAAATAAAAGTAGAGGCAAGAATAAGCTGTTGATATCCTGTCTGCTAGTAATGCATTTAAAAAACAACAACAACAAAAAAAAGACTCCATGGAGAAAATCCCTTTTTTCCTGAGAAGCCAGGCTTGCCACAGAACTGGAATCACCTGTTGAAACAGCCTCCAGGGGCCACTCTGTCCCACTTAGCACACGTTTTCTGTGTCAGATTATCAAACACAGACAGAGCTGAACACCCCAAATGACAGTGCCATTCTGCAGCTTCACAAGTGTAACTATTTCATGAGCCATAATTCACACAGTTTTTTACTTACTTCCTCATCTTTTTTTTTAATTTCTGCTTGAACTTCCTCCAGCTCTTCCTGACCCTCATCTGGACTCATTTTCAAGCCTTCCCGAAGCATTCGGATGCCAAAAATTGCAAACAGTGCCGTTGACACATAGTATGTGTACACACGAGGAATAACTGTGGTGGCATAGCCAAATAAAACTGAAAAGAAAACAAATGTGTCATTTAAAAAAATAAGCATGAGGATCATAATTGTTTTTCCCATATCTAAGAAATGCTCACTAGCAAAATCTGCGATTCAAATATCCACTGATAAATAAATATTGCATCTTTTGTTAGTTTCATATCTTTTTTTTTTTTTTTGTGCAAGACAACAACACTCTAGAAACTCCAACCATTACTGTTCATACCAGAGACTGAAGTCCATTAACACACGGACAAGGCACACCAAGCAAAGCTGATGTGCTGCTATTCCCACCAGCCAGTCCAAGCAACATTATCTTTCCCATCAAGGACTATGTAAGTCCTGCCTTTCTCCAAGCATGCCATGAAACTATCATCTGTAATCATGTTAGATTAGTCACAGTGCATACCAGTTAATTCCATTTTTATATATGACTACTTGTTGGATAGCATCTCTTTCCAATCATTTCATTTATCAAAGTTAGAATAAGATTTTCTACAAGATAAACCTACTAGACATACCCACAAATAATCCAGCTGCGTGAATCCATGTCTGTCTTCTTTTGCCAAGTGCAAGTAGCTGCACATTACTATTCCCTTCTCTCCCACACTCCCCGTAAACACACAACATGACCAACTTTGATCTTCCTTTAATTTAAAAGCACTGATCCCACTCAAAGACCAAAAAGCTACCTCCACTGTGCATTTACTTTTACAGGTATCAAAGGCGATCAAACTAAGCCAAAACTAGTTCTCAAAGGAGAAGAAATATGTATCCAGGACAAAGTACTTGCTTCTTCACAAAGTAAGACTAGTTAGCATTTTTGGACAAAAACCGCCTGTATAAATGAGAGGAAATTAAAACTCCACACCTAGCATGCGTGGCTGCTTGGACCATGCACTCACAACTGTTTCTGTTGCTTCACTCCACGTGCAATTATCTAAAAGGAAGCATATTCCTATGTGTGTTCTCTTGCACACACTTTCTTAGTTGAAAAATGCACTCAGAAGTTACTACATAATCTGGAAATTAATCTCCACTGCCACTACCAAAAGTAAGACTGAGACCAAAATTAATCAGGCTGTACTATTAGAAAACATGGCACATACATATATGAATAACAGTATTAGTTGCACAACTAAACAAAAAAAGGAGTTAAACTAAACTTCGTTTTAAAGATTGAAAACACCAAAGTAAAGCAATGCAAGAAACTATACAAAAAGATATTTTTGTTAGCACTACTTGCATATACAAGCATAGAAATAATGAAATGATCGGAATGATATGACAGTTTATTTTGTTACAAGGGTCAAACTGTCGCTAAGCATAGCCCAAGTAGTGACTACTTGGAGCCAGTGAGTTTAATTGAGCACATTTTCATGAAATCAAGGTGGGCAAAACCCCCAGAAATTTACAGACACAACTTGTATAAAACAATGGGAGAGGGGAGAAAAAAAAAAGAAAATAAAAAAAGGCTCCTTTCTGAAAAGGAAGAAATAGGTGGGAACCTCTAAACTGGGGGATAAAGCAGAAAAGAAAGCTTTTAGGAAAAAGCATCAAGAAAGATTTGAAGAAACACTTGGTATGGAAAATGGGAGAGCTGTAATGGGCAGGAGAAAAGAGATTGCAAGATTTACAGAATAGTGCATCACCTGCAGTACTAAATAACATTAAATGAAGCAAGCACTGCAGAAGTGGAAGAAGCATTAAAGACTGTTATATTAAGTGAGTAACAGAAGAAACTCATACAATGCTATCATTACACACAGTGCAAATGGAAACTGCTCCATGACTGCAATAATAATTGCAGCAATATACATAGCAACAGCTACACATCCAAAAACCACTCATAGAAACACTTGCCAAGAAGCCTGAAGCCAGTTAATTGGCTCTCTCCAGTCTACATAAACCAATGAACACTATTTCAATTATTTCTGAAATGGGCATTGTTAGAAATGAGCACACCTACAACAAAATGTATGCTGCATCTGATATACCTGAAGGCCACTCCATTTTACGATCACGGCTACGTAAGCACCCACAGCTACAGGTTCCTCAAGTGCCACCTGACACCTCACTCCCCTCCCAGCTCTTGGCTCTGTCAGTACCACCCACCCCGAAGGATCACAGCAGAACGTTGTCATCTTCCACTTACGCAGCTCCCAGCACAAATCCAAACAGCTACACATAGAGGGACACAAGCCAGACAAGGGCAATTTGTCATCATCTTAAGAATCTTTCGCCTTAGGAGGAAAAAGAGAAGTCACTCCCACATTCCCTTTAGGCATGCTAATTTAACAGGAGCTAAAAATAAAAAGGAAACTAGTGGCCCAAAAATCAAAGGAAGTGTTTAAGCTCCCAATCCCATTCCTCTTCCTTAAACTCATAGCGAGGTCTAGGGAACCCAAACACCTCATTACAGGTAAGAGCCTAAATATTCAACCTGAGCCATTGTCCCCAGGAAAACCCTTCACACTCTTCTCAAAAGAGAAAACTGCATATACCTACTACCTTCACTTTAATTTCCATTAAGATTTATTAATAAATACATACCCAGCACATTTTAAGAGGTGAAACAAAAAGAAGAGAGTGCTAACCTGATAAACATGTCATCAGTCCCAAGGCAAGCATAGCACCAGCCAGTACAGTCAAACGGTTGTACCGCATTGCCATGATGGCTGCAATGAAGAAGGTCTTATCCCCCAGTTCTGATACGATGATGACCGATATAGCAGCCACAAATGCATGAATAAAGCCCAAATTAGTCTTGTCAGCTGACTCTTCATTGACAATGTGAACTGGAGCAACCGCGGAGGACCCCTTCTGTAAGGGGTGGAAACAACAACAAAAAAATCCACTAGTTAATTACACTTGAAGAGTCAGGTTGCAGAAGTACTGAGCCTTGTATTTCTCCTGTCATATCATACTGCGTAGTGTGACATTTTAAGTATACACCTCTCGTGCAGCATTAATGATCATTAACTAGTTACTGGCTGCCACCTACCTCAAATTGCTAGTTAGGCACTTAACAAGAAGATCAGATCGTGCACCAATTATTAAAGCAGTATTTCATTGTGCACACTGTTACCAGAACACGAGAACTACTATTACAACAAAACATGGGGAAAGCTGCTTTAGTTCAGCTCTAGTATTGCTGTCTTCACAATCCCTGGCTACTTACTTTACGACCTTGACCAAACAGGCAGTTTTCCGATATAAATATTAAGAATTAAACTCTTCAAACTAAAACTGGGCAACTCGGATAGCTTAGCAGAAACACAAAGTCCTTTCAAAAACTGTCAGGATCACTTTCTTCCCTTGCAGAATCTTTGCATCTCAGCTGCATTAAAATTTTACACAAGTTTTCATCGGCTTTTTTTGTACATGCTCCATGTTTGTTGAAAACTTGCTTTAAGACTTTCTAGTGGGCAAACTGGACGAGCACACTCCAGATCCCACTTACTTACCAAAGTGTTTACTTTTACAGAGAGTAAGATATCTACAGTCAAAAGCAAGACCCAAAACAAGGAAGTCAGTGTTCACGTGCTTGACCAGAGATGGCTAAGAAAGCTTGTTGCAGCACATCTACCAGCAGAGACAGACTGCAACGTGTTTTAACACTGTGCCTTCCCAGCATTCCGCTTTTAGCAGTGCTGTACGTTTTTTGGGTTTGATATTTAAAAGTTTCCATGCTCTATATGACACATGATGACATCTCAGAGTTCCTTCACCTTTAGCAGCGCTGTAAATTTGGGGGTTTGATACTTAAAACCTAGCATACTCTATATGCTTCATCAAGCCATATGTTCATAATTTTTTCATCCCTCTGCGTGATCACCCGGCACTAGAAATCCCCTCACCAAGAACACCATTTTAAAAGTTTTAACACGAAGAAGTTAAACTGAAAATATCGAGGAAACACTGGCAGGTTTTGAGTCGCAACAAAGCCTGCTTTCATCTGCTTCTGTGAGGAAGACCCGGAGAGGTCGGTTCGCCCCCTCAGCATGCCAGCAAGCGGGGGATACAAACATTTGTCTGGTAAAAAAAAAAAAATAAAAAAAAAAAAAGCAACACTAGCCCATTTTTCACGTCGGACCTAAATCTTCCTCTTTTAGCAGAAAAAGGGAAAGCTGCAGGGCCACAGCAGGTG